GTACTATTGAATATGAATCAAGTGACGCGTCTGGCCATGACATGCCAATTCTACTGCTCGATTTACTACGAACCGCGCAAACGTGACGCATCTTTCGATTCAGTTCTCTCGAAAATACAGCTTTAAATGAAAAAAAAATGTTACTCTTCTTTTCAACTTATTTTTCCACGTACAATGCCCCCCGTTCCGATTGTATCATCAGTTATTGTGCGCTCTGAATATACAGAGACACATTTATCCACGCATCATTATCCTTTCGCGAAATAATGAAAAACCTTCGTTCAATCGCAAAGTGATGAAACCAACCGTGCATGCTACAGTATTTTCAATAGAAATTACGGTGTTTCTTTTTTTTAAATGGCCGGTCCTCTGCGCGGGCTGAGTCTCGATAATTGGCATGAGTCGAATCTCGACGTTGGCCAGAGATACAAAAATGGTCGTACGGGAAAATGCTGAACGCCATGGAAAAGTCTGTTTTTTCTACGGGCTCACTTTTATTCATAAATGCAACAATGCAACTAAAAATACGGGCTCAGTTTTTTTTATCGAAACTGCACAATTTTTCGATATATTTGTACGCAACAGAGAAAAATATCAACGAGACAATGCTGTGAAAGTTATCGACATATTTGGTCGTGACATCAATTAGAAGCTGAAAGCCAATGAACAAACTTTACCAGACCTTTTTTTATGTCGCAGTACATGCTGCCCAATGATGAAATAGCGCAGCGAAATATATTATTTATATTTAGAAATCTTATAGGCGAACGCAACAAAGTTTCTGCTGAATATTTTGCATTATTGTGAACTCGAAAGCACATGCTTGAAACAAGAATAATACATTCGTATTAAATTATAACTAACTGGTATACTGGCGTAATGAGGGATCCAACGTTGTATTTGCATTGCATTTCTTCATAAAAGATTAATTATTATTCTTTACACAAGGAACGAATAAAATGCAACGGATCATCCGACTGTACAATTCAACACATTTTTTAGCACTTTTTATTTCGAGTCTCTCGAGACTCCAGTGCACCAGTAATTTCCGTAGAAATCATTGTAGCAGTTGAGAATTAATGTTAGAACCACCGAGCACTAAAAGCGACTGATTCGTATCGCACATGTACAACAAATTCTTCCCAATTTTCCTTCAACTTGTCAACAAAAATTGACAATTTGGGAAGAAGAGTCTCTCGAAGCGTTTAGCGAAGAGTTTACTCGAGCCTCGCAGCTTATTTTTATATTTGCCGATTGTCAACAATTACAAAAACGAGGTGCAAGACTCGAATAATCGTATCTCCTCTTCTGAAATTGTCCAATTTTGTTTCCAAGCTGAAGGAAAATCAGGGAGAATTTACTGTATTTTTTACATTAATCGTATTAAAGCTTACATTTCATCGCATTTATACCTCTTTAATAAAATCCAATAAATGGAAACATTGCTCGCTTTCTATCGCAACGAACAACTGAACGAACAAATACATCCAGTGATCGCATAAAAAAGCATTCTCGAAGTCCGAGACCGTGTAATAGCTACAGTTCGATCGCGAATTCCCGCAACAGGGCAAATTAGTCGCGTACATTAGTCGGCGTGAAGAGACAGCTGTTTTTTTCCGGGGACAGGAAAGGTACGTAACAGCACTCGAGCGAGCGAGCGAGCGAGCGTGCGGACTGTTTGCCGTGTCTCGGGTTACAAAAAAACATGCGTGCCTTTCGGGATTGGTTTCAAGAGGCCGGGGTGCAATTGTACACGTTTATCCGTCGCTCGAGAGGGTGGAGAGTGGTTCGTTGGAGGACAGAGGATGCCGACCGGCAAACCACGACGGCAAACGTTCACGCGTTCCCGCTCGCGCGCGCGTAGCTTCCGCTCGGCCGCGGTTATTTGTCCGCGTCCGGCCGCGAAGAATTCGATAACGACGTCGAGAGCAAGTGTCCGGAGATTTCGAGCGAAACCGACTCGGCCCTGAAACATAATCCCGGCCGCAATGTAATCGGTCCATGCAGTCGGCCAGACGTGGCTCGCGGCCGGGAGGGAGGAGGGGATCAGATTTCCCGCGAGGAGATTCGACTTCGTTGAATGCGAGTTCCGCAATGGGGAGAGCATCGTGTTTCAGGTATTTTTCAATTTGCCACCGCGCCGCCCTCGTTCGCCGAAGATCCGAGGGCGGCGAACCGAGTAGAAGGGGTGCACTTTTCTTGGCAGTTTGTCCGTTACCATGCAGCTGTAACGCGAGTCCGTGAAAAATAGATTCGTTAGTGTAGCAGCGACTCGCTGCTGCCGCCGGACGACGAGCTATCTATACCCTCATGGAGTCGTTTCCTTTGACGGCGGAAGGCACGACCCGCGGAAACTTTATTAAAACTCCGTCGGGATTTCGCCGGAAGTTTTCCGCGAAACTTCGGGACACGTACTTTCCCCGAGAAGGCCGCGACGCGACGGGGAACGGGGGGGCACGGCGAACGGGGACGGCGAGGGGCGGGAAAAGGGCGAGGCGAGAGGCGGCCGGGGAAGTTCGAAAGAGTGGCCGCTTTAAAAATTCTCTTTCGCCGGAGTGGGTTCGGACGCCGTGAAATTCATTGCGCCTCGGTATTTCCCCGCGAAGGAAGCCACATCGTTGCCAACTTTCCTCGTAATCGCTTCTCGTTGTGCCCGCGTTATGCTACCCGCTCTTTCATTGGCCGTGACGAATAGTTTACTGTCTGCGATCGTTCTTTGCGCGCAACAAAATGCCTCGGCCACCTCGCCCAGGGCGCACACCGGCTCCTCAAAGTGGAAAAACGCTTCCGCGGGATGGTATTGTGACCGGACTTTGTGCGCGGCTTTCTGTGCCGTGCTATCTTTACAGATCGTTTTAAGAAAAATCCGAACCGAGAATTCCTTTCGCCGGCCCGAGTATTTCCCTTAACATTCGCTTCGAGTTTTATTGTCCCGTTCGTGCGGCGAAATAAGGTTTCCCCTTCTCTTTCCCTTCTCCCAGGGAAAATATTCTTTTCTCGGTCCTAAATCGGATATCAATGATGCAGCTCTTAAAGTAGCATTTCGTGCGGTGTACCGAAATGTTCTATCAGGATCGGGTTCCGTTTGATGTTCTCAACGGTGAAAACACGAACCGAAAACGGTGAGTGGAACCGAACGAATCGCGTGAACTCTTTGTGTACAATAATTTAGGAAACGAAACATGCGGGAATAACAATTGAAAGCGCGCGCGCGCGCGCCATTAGCCTGACGAATCGAAAATTCATCATTCCTGTCACCGGCGTACAATAATAACCGCGCTACAATCGAATGGAAATTAATTCAGCTTGTTGGGCTTCATTTAATTCTACGCGCCACGGGATATTTTTGATAATCGCGGTTCCCCATAAATGCATAAAATCCGCGGTCTAATGATAATATTATTTCAAATCGAAAACCCTCCAAATATTTATGACGGCGCGTGCAACGGCGGACGCAATAATGCACGAAATGTACGATACAATAGCGGCCGATAAAATTGCGCCCCGTACCTTAAAAACATTTAATTTTGAATATTTAGGCGCATCGCGAACGCTGCAGCTGCACTAAATTGTTTTGGCATGGTGTTTTAATTGTTCCATATAACCTGATGTATCAATATTGCACGAATGAAACCGGCTATCGTTTATGCGAGAGTAAAATCATAAATGTTGGTACCGTAGGATCGTGTAATTAAATAAACTGCTGTTCCAGGCGATTGATGTTGGTTCAGGGATTACGCGAGATGGCAGGGAACGGCGAAAAATTGCAAACAACAGCGTAGAAATATGACGGACACAAAATGCTCTATCAACAACAGTGTTTGCATCGGACGCGAAAGGGAAAAATCAAATAAATTCTGCAGGGGAATTAAATTTAACGTTATAATTTTGTAACCATTCTAGAGGGCGCGAACTTTTCTCGAACTTTGGAAGTTTCCTTCTGAAAAAGTTCGCAGTCCAGTAGCGTACGAAGAAGTGTCAGAACCGTTGAGCACGGTTACTATTGGGTTGGCAGGGAAGTAATTTCGGTATTTCAATGTGAAATAGAACTCAATTTTTTCTATACAAGAAATGAGCTTTAATCAGTCAAATATTTTCCATTCTGTTCGATGACCTTTCGCCATCTTTCTGGTTACTTCGTGATTCCGCGCTCATAAAACTTCTGGTTTTTATTAGTAAAAAATTCATTTTTGGTAAAAATGTTCATCTTTGCACTCCGTGTTAAAATTGACAGCAAACTATCAGTTGTAAACGAAACTACACGGAATTTGTTCATATAGTAATCTAAACGTGTCAACTACCAAAGCTGAGGACAAAAAAACATAACCTTAATAAAAGAATGACAATGCAAACATAACACTATATAGGGTGCCCTAAAATTATGGTACTTCCGGGAAATTGGAGATTCCTGAGATCATTCGAAGCAACTTTTTCCTTTAGAAAAAATTTCTCCGTGGCTTCGTTAACGAGTTATTAATGAAAAACACTGACCAATGAGAGGCGAGCTTGGCTTGCACGAAGCGGCCGAGTCAACGAGCGGACGAAGCCCGGTTCCGCTCATTGGCTCGACTGGTCTCGCGCGAGCCAAGTTCGCCGCTCATTGGTCAGTGTTTTTCTTTAATAACTCGTAAACGAATCCGCGAATTGCATTTTCGCTAAGGAAAAAGTTACTTCAAATTACCTCAGGAACCCCTCATTTCTCGGAAATACGATAATTTTGGGATACCCTCTTTATTGGTGCAAATCGAAATTACTTTCTTGTCAACCCAGTAGATCGCGAGTCGAGGGATCGCATGAAAGAATTCTGTTGCATAAAGACCGTTGTACAAAGGCTCGGAAAAGTAGATTCCTAAATTGCTGACTAAATTATTAGGCGTTTTGCAAGACAGACTGGTATGAGAGCACGAAAAGTACCATTGCTCATAACTTGTATTACAAACAAACGTGAAAAAGAAGCGTGATCCTTACAGCTGTTTGACGATTGTTCTTTCTGATTTCAGTGAGGGAGGTTACGTTGTCCGAGCTCAGGGACTCGATAGTCAGGTTACGGGAGAGAGTGAAGCTGGTGTGTCGAACGAAGGGGTCCCCGCCCCCTAGGGTGCACTGGCTGAAAGACGGCATCCCTTTGCACCCCCGCAGAGGCCTCAGGATTCAGCACAAACGGTGAGCGACAATTTCAACGATTCGCAACGTTCCGCCGTAATTCGAAACGATTCGACATTCGAACGTGTCCCGTGCCGCCGAATGCCGGCGGCGATTAGCATTTACGACGGCGAAGTACCCGGTAACGACTATTAAAAACAGAGGGGACATGATGCGTGGGAGGCGAATTCGACGCGGAGAAGAGAAACGCGAAAGAAGAACGGCGAGGGTAGTGCGGCGTCGCGTGTATCCGTGTCACGGAAAAGCGCTCGAATAATGACTTGTCGCGACCGCGTGCGGAACTATTCATTTACGGGAACACAGGTTCGCGTTAGAATGTAGCGAAGCCGCCGTTAATGGCAGCCGAGCTCTCCGGCTCTCGGCCGGCCGACTCTTCAATTTCGAGACTCTCACGAAACGCGGAAATTACGTGTTTCGTTGCGGGGAAACGATGCCGAGGAATTGGATTGATTCGTCGGATCGGCGTTGCCAAGTCTCCCTTCTCCTCTTCTATCTCTATTCCTCTCTCTCTCTATCTTTCTGCCATCCTCGATATATACATTAATACCTACTTAACAAAGTTGACTCGTGTTTGGCAACGATATCGTTCAACGACTCGCGAACTTTCGCCGCTTCCTTTCGCCTCGTTCCTCATCCTCTCCTGCCTCCATCTCTCTCCCTTACTCTCCCTCTCTCTTTCTCTCTCTCTCTCTCTCTCTCTCTCTCTCTCTCTCTCACCGGATTCCGAACTCGAAGCGCCTCTGATATCGTTGCCAAGAATAATACTCGCGTGACATCGATTTCTGCCGCGGCGTCGCGTGCCTACCTGCGATCGATCGCCGCTCGCGATCAAGGTGATTACCTCGATCCTTCGATCTCTCCGAGGCACTTCCCTGTGGCGATCCGATTTTTAGGAATTTATTACCGGGACGCCGTACGACGTAGGGCTGGCGAAGTGTTTGCCGCTGGCTCGGCCGTGATGGGAGAGCTCGTAGGGAAATTTTGGTTGCGTGTTGGGTTTGGTTTGTGCTGTTCGCCGACTGCTTCGTAAAACAATCTGCAGAACGCGCAACACCTTGGAACATTCTGTGGGAAGAACGCCGCAAATCGCATGATTTCACTTGGGAGATATCGTCGTTGAAAGTTCCGATCACCAATGCTTCGTATTAGTAGCGTTTCAAATTGCATAACTTTCTTTTAAGTCTGTAGAATTTGTTTCGTGATGTATTTTCTGATGAATACGTAAATCGCATATACTACGGTTCAACTAAAGCATTAACTTAAATTTATTGAAATTGTGACTTCCGACATTTTTCCTTGCAGCCGCAGAATTGAAAGGAAAAAATAGGATTATTTAGTACCATTTTTTTCCACTTAACAGTATTTCACAAAGAGTCGCTTCGCTTTGCGAATCATTTTGTCTCTCAGTTTCAGGGAAACATTTTTTTACGAACGAGTCAGGAAAAATCGTGCGTTGGAGGTGCTATGAAAGACAGCACCTTTTTTCACGTAACATCGAATCGTACTAGACTGTATTCCGAAAAATGTTCAAGCTCTCTGTCATTTAGTTTCCATGTAATAAATCCTCGAAAATGATCCACGTTTGTGTCACTTGTCGGAGTTCATTACGACGTGTATCAAGTTGCTTTCTTTTTTATACAGCGTGTCGCAGAATTCATTGTGCGAAAGAGACGAAAGAGACGAAAGAGACGATTCCACGTGAAAAAAGCGAGCGAGAAATGTAGAATGAAATTTTTTTACACGCGGCTTTGTTCCCGAGAAAATTGAGTTCGAAAATCAAGGAGTGGAAACAGTCACTCATGAACAGACACGTTATCCGGTAAGCTACTGAATAGCGCGCGTATTATGCGAAAACTTTTGTTGCGAAAACTCGAGTCCTACATTTCGATTTGCTTTCCCAAAACGTATGTTTACGAACTGTGCTGCGAGTAGCGAATGCCGCTTCAACCCTTCGTCGTCGAGGTTTTTTTTTTAAACTAGTGAGTTTAAACATTTTCCTCGGAGAACTAGACTGTCTATCGAAAAAAATTGACAATAGATCCTGAGTTATCGTTACGTACGTAAACAAGTTCTGAAATAAAATACAGAAAATGTCATCACTATGTCGACACCCCTTGAGAGACTAGCCCGTGTCAGTCTCTCGGTGTTCGCGTAACGCATACATGTTGCTGAACAAGATTTATTAAAAGTTCCATCGTGTCCAAATGAAATATTTCGTGCACCATTTTATTTGACCTGTTCCTTTACTTTTCATTGAATAAGAACAGCCGTGTCACTTATAGCTAGACTGCGAATTTTACGCATTTATGGCAAAGATGTGTAGACATAATTTAAAACAGTGAAAATATTAAACTGCGGAGAAACGCCTGTCTCTTATACACATCTAGATGTGTATAAGAGACAGCCTTTATCTCAGGCGCTCCGCTCCAAAAATGTGCCGGAGTTACTGGTAGGCAGTACTCGAGAAACGCGCGGAGCGCTAAGGGTGAAATGTAGCAACGTTACAAGTTTGACGGAGATAATATAATATAATGTAATATAATATAATATGATATAATATAATATAGTATCTGTCTCTTATACACATCTAGATGTGTATAAGAGACAGCCTTTATCTCAGGCGCTCCGCTCCAAAAATGTGCCGGAGTTACTGGTAGGCAGTACTCGAGAAACGCGCGGAGCGCTAAGGGTGAAATGTAGCAACGTTACAAGTTTGACGGAGATAATATAATATAATGTAATATAATATAATATGATATAATATAATATAGTATCTGTCTCTTATACACATCTAGATGTGTATAAGAGACAGCCTTTATCTCAGGCGCTCCGCTCCAAAAATGTGCCGGAGTTACTGGTAGGCAGTACTCGAGAAACGCGCGGAGCGCTAAGGGTGAAATGTAGCAACGTTACAAGTTTGACGGAGATAATATAATATAATGTAATATAATATAATATGATATAATATAATATAGTATCTGTCTCTTATACACATCTAGATGTGTATAAGAGACAGCCTTTATCTCAGGCGCTCCGCTCCAAAAATGTGCCGGAGTTACTGGTAGGCAGTACTCGAGAAACGCGCGGAGCGCTAAGGGTGAAATGTAGCAACGTTACAAGTTTGACGGAGATAATATAATATAATGTAATATAATATAATATGATATAATATAATATAGTATCTGTCTCTTATACACATCTAGATGTGTATAAGAGACAGATATTATATTATATTACATTATATTATATTATCTCCGTCAAACTTGTAACGTTGCTACATTTCACCCTTAGCGCTCCGCGCGTTTCTCGAGTACTGCCTACCAGTAACTCCGGCACATTTTTGGAGCGGAGCGCCTAAGATAAAGGAAGTCATATTTTGAGCGGAAAAGATGCGGAAAAAATGCATTCTTGTGTATGCATTTGATTTTATTTATTTTATAAATATACATTTTCGTACTGTAAATAAAAGGTAAATTTTTAATTTTGTAATTCACCATGGTGTGATATCTTTGGTAACAATCTCCCATGTGCATTCTGGGTTCACTTGGACAAGTGTCACAGTATTCGCTTTGCCAAATAGAGTTACTAGATATTTCTTTCAAGTTTAGAACATTTTCTGCGTCATTGTTGGTTTCCTTTATAATTTCATTTACCAATTCGTCCGTGAAAAATAATTTAAAATATTGTATCGGCTGTTCAATGTTTGTAGGAACTTGTGGTCCAATGATCTGTGGCAATACACTAAAAGGTATTCTATCTGGAATATGTAATTCTTCCGTAATATCACGCCGTTCATCCAAGCCTTGTAACGAATCTTCGCTTTCACTTTCAATAATTCTCATTCTTCGTCTCTTTCGTAGTATAATTTCGCTGCTACTACTCGAAGTGTCAGAATCATAAGCAACATTGTCTTCCACAATGTCTTTTAACTCTTCAAAATCAAATACGTATTCGGTATCACTCGGCTCTAAATTCTCATCGTAATATTTATTTTTCTCCATGTTGCTAACCATAGAAAAGGTCAAAAAATGGTTTAATCGTATTGGTACAGACTTAGCACGTTCTAACTACAGATAACAATTGCTAACGCCGAGGATAACGTACGCTAAAAACATTTGGCTCCGCAGCGGAGCCTTCGGAGTTACGGAACAAATGACAAATGTCTCCGTAGCGGAGCCTTCGGAGCGCTAAGGGTTAATGGCAAAGAAAAGCGATGAGCAATTTTAGCGAAGCTTCTTGAATGTCGCGAATCAGTTGCGGGATTGAACCGATCGGCAGCGTATCTCTGAGTGGACAGCATGGTCCCGCGGTCGAACGGCACGGCCCTGATCGCCGTAATAATTTCAGACGGCCTTTCGGCCGGTTTACTATCCACGGAGGAACGATTATAGCGAAAGAGCCGAGCTGAGCAGAGCCGAGCGGAGCCGGTCGGCCCTCTCTTCGCTGATGACTCAACTGTTGGCAAGACTCTCGTTTCTCTCTGCCGCTACTCTTTAAAGATGATGTATTCGTGTGCGTGCCGCTTCCAACTTCGCTCCCAACTCGCAACGCCACGAGCCACCAGCCCCGAGCGTATTGTAATGGAAACCGTTGACCCTTTTCCTCCGCTTCGACAAAGTCTTCGGAGTTTCCGGCCCTCCGCGATCTCGCTCGCGCCTCTCTCGATTTTCGCTCCATTCTCCTCCCCCCTTCGTCTATTTACGGCGACCAGGATCCTTTAAAAAAATATGTACGTGTGCACCGTCGCTCCTTGCCGCACAAAAAGTTCCAGCGTCCTCCTTTCAGCTTCCGCTCCAAGCCTCCTTTCGAGCCACAACACTTCTTCATTGTGTCCACCCTCACCTCCATTTTAGACACTTCTTGGCGCGTGTTGCTTATGCACGACGCAAGCAAGCGTTTACTCTACAGGGTGTCTTGTTTATGCGAGTACAACAGGATATCTCGGAAGGAGTTATAGTTAGTAAAAAAATGTTCCTACAAAAGTTGTTTGGTGGAATTGG